AAACCCCTCAGGCTCTATCCCCCAAATCTTCAATTATTTCCCAACTCGGAACTGGCAACCCTACTTGGACCAGTCCCGGATTGGTCACCATACCAAGTCCATTTGGACTGGTGGGTCACCATACCGAAAAGGCTGGGAAATACTGCCCCAAGGGGCCTGAGTCAAGGTACCACGGGTGGACAGGAGCAGCCTGCTTGTTTCCATCGAGCATCTTGTGCAACTCTTCTGAATGAGAAAGAGCCTAGACACCCTTTTTCGGTGGTGGAGACATGAAACAGCTCTGTGCTCATAACCTGGGGGTGTGAGAGTCGTTCCAGCCCTTCCTGATATCCTTTGGGAAGGCTGCTCCATTCCCCCCATCGCTTTGGACAAACCTCTCTAAGCTGGCAGCAGAAGATTCATAGAATCGTTGCTGGCTCAGCAACAATAAATGTAAACTCATTTGTAGACTCATCGCTCTCCCCATTCGTTTTCATTACCCTAACAAACGTAATGAACAGGGCTTTTTTTTTTCTCTTCCCCCCCTTGCTCGTTCGGAAATGAACACACACCCTTACTCATTAAAGCTTGTTTAAAAGAGACTAAAGATAACATACTACTTTCCCCGACCACCCTAGAAACTGGCTACTACATAGCAGCTGTTGGTGGGGGAAGCTATGCCTGCCGAGTATCTGTGAAGTATCGCACACAAGTGAGAAATTAATTGCTGAGCAGTAAATTCCCTCATCATAATTAGCGGCAGCATCCCCACAAACACTTGTTTGTAGCAGCTAGTGTTTAATGAGGCTCTAACAAGGCAGATTGCTGGGAGTTCAGCAAAATAGATATTACTCAGCGTTCTAGGAGGCTGTGTATGTGATATCCATGTTGAGATACCCCCCAGCCGTTAGGGATGTGCGCAAAATGACTCACTGCTTTGGGGGAAAGCTTCGGCAGAGGCAGAAGACATGCCAGTTTATTGACAATTTTGGGCTTCCCTTGTGAAAATGTTCATTTAAATTGCCCTCTCTTGCCCGTGATTTCGACTGCTGAAGGTTAAAGCAGAAAGCGCCAAGGCAGGATTATAGCTGAGCATCCAGAAGACAAATGTAAGGACTATCGGGGAATTACACAACTTTAAGGTTGACAGTGAAAAAAACTGAACAAAGTTTGAGTCTGGTGGCACCTTTAAGATCAATGAAGTTTAATTCTGGGTCTAAGCTTTCGTGTGCATGCAAACTTTGTTGCAGGGCTATTTTTGGGCAGGAACGCACAGGAATGGAGTTCCGGCTAGCTCCCAAGTTGGCCACGCCCAGCAGGAACTCATTAGCATAATAGGCCACACCCAACAGCAGAAACTCATTAGGATTGGCTATATTAGGGGTGTGTGGCCTAACATGCAAAGGAGTTCCTGCTACAAAAAAAGCCCTGGGTTTTGACAACAAAAAAGGTAAACAGAATAACAAGCAAAGGGTGGGTGTGGATGGATAACGACACTTCTGGTAACATGGGGATGCATCCTAATGTGCTAATGAGCTGTGCTGGCAGGGTGTGTGGTCTAATATGCTAATGAGTTCCTGGTGTTGGGTGTGGCCTATTATGATAATGAGTTCCTGCTGGGCTTTTTCTACAAAAAGAGCCCTGCTTTGTTGTATTGCTGCAGACCAGCATGGCTACCCACCTGAATCTATCTTCAATGAAGAAATTGAAACTGTTCGAGATTTTCTATTCCTGTTGGCTCCATCACCAACCAAAAGGCAGACTGCAGTCAAGAAACTAAAAGGAGATGCAGGCTGGGAAGGGCAGTTATGAAGGAGCTAGAAAAGATTCTTAAGGGTAAGGATGTGTCACTGCTGACCACGATCAAGATAATTCATGCCACAGTATTCCCCGTTACTAGGGATGTGCATTTGGCATCCCTGAGCCGAATTAATGCCCGAATCATGCCTTTTGGGCATGATTCGGACATTAGTTAAGCTGAATCAGATTCTCTGATCTGATTTGGCTTACCAATAAGAGAATCCCACGTTAATTCAGGAATCCTGAATTTCTTGGCTCCATTATACTCTATGGGACCATTAAACTCAATGGCAAATCTCCTAGGGTATATTCAATGGGGGGGAGGGGATTTGAGGTAGAGGCACCAAATTTGCTGTGTAGCCGCGGGAGCCTCTCCCCAAAAGAACCTCCAAGTTTCAAAAAGATTGGATCAGGAGGTCCAATTCTATGGGCACCCAAAGAGGGTGCCCCCATCCTCTATTGTTTCCAATGGCGGGGAATAGCAAGGGAGTGTCAGCAAGCTGCCATTCTGTTTTCTGTGACCTCTGTGTACATATCCTTTCCCTGTTACACCCGGCTTGGCTTCTATCATCCTGTTCCTGCTTTGGAATGCAAAAGATAACTGCTGGAGGTTGTGTGGGGGAGAAGATGCTGTAATGCTTGCCTATTGATTTTCCCTTGAGTACTGCACCTGTGTTTTGTCTGATGTTCTGCCTAGTTCCCACGTACTGGGCGCGCAACCGTTTCATTAGCCCGCCAGCGGGAAAGCTCTCCATTGGATCTGTATCTATTTGAAGTTCCTTTATTATGCTTGACCTAACTGTGTATCCCCAGTTCTAACAAGGAACGTGTTTGAGTATGTCTTCAACGCTTTGAAATAAAATCTTGCTTTTCTTGAAAACGTGGATTTATTCTCGATGCTTGGGGATCCAACATATTGTTAGAACTCCCTTTTCCTATCGTTCCGAATCTGACAAGATCATGAGCGGAATTGAGGGAAATCTACCTAACACGGAGGGGGACTCGGGATCGGTCCCACAAACCTCCGCGTCTTTGGTGTTCACGACTGCAGCCTCGATGGAGGGTGCCGTGGGGGGAACGATTCCCCGCCTGCCTGCACATCTGTCTTGGCCGCCTCCGACCCCTTCGCAATGGGGTCCGCGGAAGACTCACCAGCAGGATGATTGGACTATGTACAACACCCAAGGCACCCGTGAGGTGTACTCCCGTCGGGGGAGCGGATTACGTGAGAGTCTGTTTGACAAGGGATTGTTCCCGGAACCTGGGTCTACCTCGGAGAAGGGGAGCCCCAAGCAGGACCTCGAGGAGTGGATGTTCGAGCCGTCGGGACCGCGTGGTCACGCAGAAGATGAGGAGGGCACCGGAGCCTTCCAAACGGAAGAGGACTACGACCCACCCCCGGATTATCGCCCTCGGGACCCCATCCCGGAGGAAACTACCGGGGAACGTCTAGCAGAACTGGAAGACTCGGTGAGAGACTTAATGCGGGCATTCCAGGATGTGATGGAAGGCCTGCCGGGAATGTTGGACGTTAGAATGGCCAATTTCCTGGACGCACACGCCGCGCAGTTGCAAGTTGCTCCTGCACCGGGATTTCCCGCGCCGCCGATGCCTGCTCAGCCGCTGCAAGCACCGGGAGTTCCCGCGCAGCAGGTACCTGTCCAGCAGCCGGTGAGACCGCCTCCGCCAGTGCCTGCGCAGCCGCCGATGCCAGGGGGTCCGCCGGTGCCGGGTCTGCCGCCGCCGCTGAGGCCAATACCAGCAGGGCCACCGGTTGTACCGGGTTTCCCTCCCAGGGGAGCTCCGGGGCAGCTGGGCCCGTTGGTGAGGCCTCCACGACCCAGACCCAAGGATCTGCTGGAGGCTACCTTCGACGGCAACCCGGATGAACTCGCTTTCTTCACGGTGAGGGTGCATAAATTCGTAGAAGAGAGTCGACACCTGTTCCGAAATGAAGCTGGTCTCATTGATGTCATCTCGGCAAGACTGAAAGGAGACGCCGCCACATGGTATGTTGGACTGCACAACGACCGCGGTCCGGAACTTTTGAATTTGCGAGCATTCATGTGGGCGCTGAGGGCGAGATTCGAAGATGTCAACGCGAGTCAAAGAGCTAAAGCGTTCCTCCGGACCTACCGCCAGAACAAGAAGTCGGTTCGCGAGTACACTCTGGAATTCCACAAGCAAGCAGCTAAGCTCCGAGACTACCCTGATCATATATTGGCTGAGATGTATCGCTTGGGTCTCAACGCAGAAATCCGAGAAACGGTTCTGAAAACTGTCAACCCTGTCTCCCTGATGGCCTGGACCCAAGAAGCTGAAAATGCAGAAGACCGGCTCACCACCATCAAACTCGACCTGGCTGCTACGACCAACAGACCCGCCGCTGTCGGTGCCTCTAAACCCAAGACTCAACGCCTGTCGGAATCGGCAAGGGAACTACGGATGAAGATGGGGCTCTGTCTCAAGTGCGGGGAGAAGGGGCATTTCGCTGTGGATTGTGGCAGCCGTCAAGTCAAAGACAAGCCGCCTACCCCAAGCCCGAAGACACCGCTGTCGGGGAAGAAGGGGATGGCTAAACCGCGTTTCTCCAAAGCTCTGCAGGCAGCCCAAGGTTCGGGGGAAAATGAACCGGCTGCCGCCGAGTCCGAAGAAGAGCTGGTGGCTGAAACGGCGGAAAACGACAACGGCCTGTTGTGAGAGGCGCAAAACGACAAGGCCATTCTAATGCTGCGCCCAAGGTGGTGAGAGAAACCCCTTCCCTATTTTTCGTGACTGTCTCCTTAATGAATCCGCTCCTAGGAACCCACGTTAGGGTAAGAGCGTTGATTGATTCTGGGTGTGGGAGGGATCTCATCAGCCCTAGAGTGTTAGTTGCACTGGAAGCGGGGATAGTCCCCTTGAAGTCCCCCATCATTTTTACTCAGATGGATGGGGCACCCATGGAACCTTGTACGCACGAGACTATGGCTTTGCGGTTGGGGGCGGGAGATCATTGGGAATCCAGGTCCTTCATTGTCACCCCTAAATCGCAGTTCGACTTAGTACTGGGGAGTCCCTGGTTGTTTACCCATGACCCTTACATCTTGTGGGAAGAAGGGGTTGTCAAATTTGTGTCGGCTAAGTGTGTGGATCACTGCTGGGTGGATTCGTGGGGGGACCAGCCGACCACACAGTTCCCCTGCGGCACTTTGCAACCGGAAGAGTTAGCTTCTTTGCCTCGAGAGTATAGAGACTTGGCAAAGGTGTTTGGCGAAGAGGAAGCTAACGAATTGCCCCCTCATCGCTCGACTGACTGTGCTATTGAACTTTTGCCTGACTGTAAATTACCCAAAGGTAAAATTTATGCGATGGGGCCGGCTGAAAAAGTCGAACTGCGGAACTTTATTGATAAAAACCTAGCCCGAGGTTTCATTCGCCCGGCTTCCTCCCCTTTCGCCGCGCCTGTACTTTTCCGAAAGAAGAAGGACGGGGGGCTTAGGTTGTGCACTGACTATAGGGGTTTGAACGCTGTTTCTTTGTCCAATGCTTACCCCCTCCCATTAATTAAGGACTTGGTAGCTGAGGCCACCAAGGGCAAGATCTTCTCGAAACTTGACCTCCGGGATGCATATTTCCGTGTGCGCATCCGGGAGGGGGATGAAAGTAAGACTGCATTTAATACCCCTTTGGGGCAGTTTGAGTACCTCGTTATGCCCTTCGGCCTTCAAGGGGCTCCGGGGGTCTTCATGAACCTAATCAATGAGGTCCTACATGAGTTTCTATTCAAAGGAGTGGTCCTTTACCTTGATGATGTGTTGCTGTACTCTCAGGACCTCCAGTCGCATATTAAATTGGTGCGCCAGGTCCTTAAGCGACTTTATGAACACCACTTGTTTGCTAAGCTGTCAAAATGTGAATTCCACAAGACATGCATTGACTTTTTGGGATACCGCATCTCTGGGGGGAAGGTTGAAATGGACCCTGCTAAAATTCAGGCTGTACTTGACTGGGAGCCCCCCAGGACCCGCAAACAATTGCAAATGTTCCTCGGATTTGCCAATTTTTACAGAAATTTCATCCAGAATTTCGCGCAAATTGCCCTTCCCCTGACTGAGTTGCTAAAGACCAAAGGGAAGGGTTTTGATGCTACGAAACCTGGCGCCCCGCTTAAATGGTCCCCTGCTTGCGCAGAGGCTTTTGAGAAACTTAAACTGATGTTCACCTCCGAGCCGGTGCTGGCGCGCCCTGATGAATCTAAGAAGTTTATTGTCCAAACTGATGCCTCGGATGTGGCTATGGGGGCCGCTATTTTGCAAGAAGGGGAAGATGGTCGGTTACATCCCCTGGCATTTGTGTCTAAAAAGTTTTCTGATGCCGAACGAAACTGGGGGATTTGGGAAAAGGAAGCGTCAGCGATCCGGCTGGCTCTCTCCACTTGGAGGCAGTGGCTGGAGGGGGCGCAACTGCCGTTTGAAGTCTGGACTGATCATAAGAATCTGGAGATGCTGAAATCCCCCCGTTCTCTCAACGCTAAGCAACTTCGTTGGGCGGACTTCTTCGCTAAGTTTCGATTCACACTTCGTCATTTCCCGGGGGCGGCTAATTCCCTGGCTGACGCGCTCTCGCGCCTCCCACAACATGACAGTCAGCGTGAGATCATCATGGACTCTGTTTTTTCCCCCTCCCATCTGGGGGGGGCCGTAGTCACCCGGGCGCAGGCGCGAACGATTCCACACTCTGATGAGACTTCGCCTTCCCTGTTCCCTGTGGGAGGGGGGGCCTGGGTCCAGAAATATCTTTCTGCTTTTACTGCTGAGGATGATGCCTCCCTTAAGACATTACCTGATTGTGTCCGTAGCCCTGAAGGTCTGATTTATTCTGGAGACAAATTGTATGTGCCTATTTCGATGAGGAGGGAGGTGATGGAGTCTGCTCACGGTTCGAAACTGGCAGGGCATTGGAGTTTCGTTAAATCTTTGCAACTCATCCGCAGACAATTCTGGTGGCCACAAATGCGCAAAGACCTCTTGATGTTTGTTAGGTCCTGCCAAACCTGTGCCTTAACTAAACCCAGGATGGGCAAGCCTCCTGGTTTACTGCAGCCACTCCCTACTCCGTCGAGACCATGGGAAGTGGTGTCCATGGACTTTATTACTGACCTCCCTGCGAGCAAAGGGAACACTGTTATTTGGGTGGTTGTTGATTTGTTTTCTAAGCAAGCTCATTTTGTGCCTTTTCCTTCCTTGCCTACAGCTCAGAGGTTGGCGAAATCGTTTATGTCCCACGTGGTGAAAATTCATCAATTACCTGCTAAGTTAATTTCTGACAGGGGGACCCAATTTGTTTCTAAATTTTGGAGGGAACTTCTTTCCATTTTAGGGGTCGAACAAGGGCTCAGCAGCGCGTATCATCCCGAAACTGACGGACAAACGGAAAGGGTTAATCAGACTCTGGAACAATACCTGCGTTGTTTTACTAATTATCAACAGAATGATTGGTGTGAATTATTGCCTCTTGCTGAATATTGTTATAACAATACGGTCCATAGCTCCACAGGCATGTCTCCTTATAAAGCTGTATCTGGTTACGACAGTCCCCCCCTCCCTTTCTTGGAGGGGATGGGCCAACGTCCTGTGGGGGATGCTGATACATGGTGTATGTCCTTGCAAAAAGCATGGCCGCTGCTATGCCAAACACTTGACGCAGCCAAGGCTGCTTACAAGACCCAGGCAGACAAGGGTAGGGTGGTGGGGTTTGATCTGAAACCTGGGGATCTTGTGTATGTCTCGACCAAGAACATTAAGATGCTGCGGCCTAGCAGAAAATTGGGATGGAAGTTCATTGGTCCGTTCAAAGTGCGTAAAGTCATAAATGATGTGGCAGTTGATGTTGTTTTGCCTAAGAATTTACGTGCCTTGCATTCTGTCTTTCACATGAGTCTATTGAAGAAGGATCCTGGACCGTCTCCTTGGAGACCAGCGACTACTCCTCCTCCACCTGTCATATTGGAAGGGGATGAACATTTTGACATAGCTGATATCCTTGATTGTAAAGTGAAACGTGGTAAACTCTGGTACCTTATCGAATGGGTTGATTTCGGTCCCCAGCACCGCGAATGGGTGGAAGAAGGGGATATTCGGGCCCCTTACCTGATCCGTAGTTTCCACAGAAGGTTCCCGGACAAACCGGGAGGTCTCCCGCCCAGCCCGGGAGATCTCCCGCCCAGGCCGGGAGGTGTGTTGTAAGTGTATTTTAAGGGGGGCAGTATGTCAGCAAGCTGCCATTCTGTTTTCTGTGACCTCTGTGTACATATCCTTTCCCTGTTACACCCGGCTTGGTTTCTATCATCCTGCTCTTGCTTTGGAATGCTTAAGATAACTGCTGGAGGTTGTGTGGGGGAGAAGATGCTGTAATGCTTGCCTATTGATTTTCCCTTGAGTACTGCACCTGTGTTTTGTCTGATGTTCTGCCTAGTTCCCACGTACTGGGCGCGCAACCGTTTCATTAGCCCGCCAGCGGGAAAGCTCTCCATTGGATCTGTATCTATTTGAAGTTCCTTTATTATGCTTGACCTAACTGTGTATCCCCAGTTCTAACAAGGAACGTGTTTGAGTATGTCTTCAACGCTTTGAAATAAAATCTTGCTTTTCTTGAAAACGTGGATTTATTCTCGATGCTTGGGGATCCAACAGGGAGGCATACAACAAGCCCAGCAGGTTCTCCCAGAGAGTCTCTGCAGTAGAAGGTGGGGTGTGGGGAGGGGGCATGTTTGTAAGGCTAGCAGCAGGACCAGTGCAATGTGCCCAGGAGAACCAGTGCCACTCTGGCAGTGCCCAAATGCAACAGATTTGACCTTAGTCAACAGATTTAACCCAACAGATTTAACCTTTATGAAACTGGCCAGTTAAATGGGTCTATGTATAAAGAACAAACCTCTGGGCTTGAGGCAGTGGTGTTCTGTTTCAAAAAGCGAAGATGCTCATGAAATCCACCTCTGCTGAATTTCTCCCTGGATTTTGGGGTTCCATATTAGCTGAAATATACACCTTCATAGAACTCGCAATGTTGTAATGTGGGGTTTTTCCTGAGTTATAGAACAAGAACATATGCAAAGAAAGAAATTAAAAACTGAACATTGGTGTTCCAAAAATCCATTTAAAAATAAAAATGTTTGGTGACACTTGAAGCGTTTGCTTTTGAAGGGGTTTCTTTCCTTTATTTGTTCATATGTATCAGAAGAGTTCTGTTATGTTCTTCTTCTGCAATATAAAAACTAGTGTTATATCATGGCAAGTTGTGAATTTGGTAATGTTCCCTTCTTGAACCATTTAGTTATTTTCCTCTGTCCCTTAGGTGAAAAGCATGTGCTGTAGTTTAATTCCGTTCAGGGCTCTTTTTGTAGCAGGAACTCTTTTGCATATTAGGCCACACACCCCTAATGTAGCCAATCCTCCAAGAGCTTACAGAGCTCTTCTTACAGGGGCTACTGTAAGCTCTTGGAGGATTGGCTACATTGGGGGGGTGTCACTTAATATGCAAATGAGTTCCTGCTACAAAAAGAGCCCTGCTTCCGTTTCCCCTGTTGGGTGTTAGTTTTGTGTTTCTAGCAGAGGCCCAAAAAGGCGCTGCTTTGTTCTAAAAAACCTACAATCGTTCTGGGCAAGGTGTGCTTGTAGAATTATTACAACTAAAAAGTAACAGAAGCCCTGTTGTGTGCCAAAAACATTTCAAAATATGTTTTTCAGCACACCACAGGTTAATTCTGAAGGGATTTCTATATTGCAGGAGAGCTCAGTTGCAGTCTTCTACGCTATCTATATATCTAATTCCAAAATGTGCCCTTTATGTCCGGATCAGTGTTCCCTCTAAGCTGAGTTAGTGTGAGCTAGCTCACCGTTTTTTAGCCTCCGGCTCACACATTTTTGCCTTAGCTCAAGAAGGAGGGCTCCAGAGCAAACTAATTTATGCAGTAGCCGAATTGCTCACTCACAACTTTAATGCCAGTACCTCACAAAGTAGAATTTTTGCTCACAAGACTCCAGAGCTTAGATCTTTACTCCTAGATCTAGGAGAAAATATAGAGGTTGAACAATGGATTTAAATTTGGAATTCGGTTAAATATATGAGAGCCATAGCTTATAAGGAAAATGTATACAAGATGGTACACAGATGGTATTGGTCCCCAGATAAAATAGCTAAATGTTATCTGGGCTGCTCCAGGCAATGCTGGAAGTGCAATGCTAAAGTAGGGACCTTCTACCATATGTGGTGGAAATGCAAGAAATAATGAATAAAAATTTAGCATTAAAACCTGAAATATATCTGCTCAATATGCTTCCGAATGGATATAACCAGCAAGAAAAATACCTGTTGTCATATATATTAACTGCTGCACCGTTACTTCTGGCAAAAAATTGGAAAAGTGATGTAATACCCTCGAGAAAAGATCTAGCATTTAAAATGTTAGAATTAGCACAAATTGACGATTTGAGCCTGAGGCTCCAAAATAAAAATGAAAAGGTACATGATAAAAGATGGATAAAGATGTATGTATGGATAGAAAATTTAGTTGATGGTTAATGACTCTAGTGTATGGATAAAAGTATACGTGGAATGTAAATAATGTTTATAACTGAAAATAAAAACTTTTAATTAAAAACAAGACTCCAGAGCTTAGACGGAGCATCGATCCGGATATTTAAATCTGCAGACAGGGGGCGCACTCTCCCCCAACAGTTTTTCCTACAGACTCGGGGGACTCCCCAGGGGTTCAGAAAAATCTGAAAATTGAAAA